GGCCCCTTCGTCCCCTCGCCCCCGCCCCGCCGCCCGGCGCAGACCTGGGTGGGTGGCAGCAGCCCCTGGTGGCCGTCGGAGATACCGCTCGGGAGGCCTTCGGAGGGTCCCCGCCGGGCTGGGCACCCCCGCGCGGCCGGGCTGGCCGGCCCTTGGATACTCAGCCCCGACCCCTGCTCTGCCTTCCTGACCCACAGGCCTCTGTGGCACCGGAATCCAGTCCTACTTCACCTTTCTTCGCTTCCTGCTGCTGCTCAACTTGCTGACCCTGCTGCTCACAGCCAGCTTCGTGCTGCTGCCCCTGGCCTGGCTCCGCCCCCCTGAACCAGGCCCGGCCCTGAACTTGAGTGAGTGCCTGGCCCCGGGAGGGAATAGCTCCCCAGAGCCCGCCCGGGACTCTCCCTGATCTCCTGCCCCACCCTCAGCTCCCGGCGCAAGGACAGGGCCTCACCTGTGCCTTGGGGACACCTCCCTATCGGCCCCCTCCCCTCCTCAACAGCCCTCCAGTGCCCCGACGGCCACCAGCCCCAGACGAGCGACCCGAAGTTCCACAATCAACTTTGGAATGTTTTAACTGGCAGGGTGAGTGGGGTGTGTCCTCCAGGGGGCCTGAGAAAGTGGAGTCGGAGAGGATCCCCACCCTCCAAGGACAGTTTGGCTTCTAGGAGGATGGTCTCACTCAGACAGGCTGGCCAGGCCAGTGGCGGGGCTAGAGAGAGGCTGAGACCCCTGTGCGTAGCACAGGCTCATGGACACATGCCTGTGGCCCTCAGAGCCCAGCTAGGGTGGGGGTACAAGGAACAAAGGGGAAAAGTGTCTAGGCCTCTGGGATAAGCATCCCACCGTCACCCTTGGAAGCCACTGTGGGCTCCTGGGTTCAAGTCCTTGTTCGATTTCCCAGAGCTGTGTGGCCTCGGGCAAGTGGGCGTCTGTGAAATGGGAATACTCCTACCTGATGGGGTGAGGGTCGGGGCTAATGAGGTCACACATGGAAACCATTTAGAACAGAGCCCCGGGCTCACTGTCTTCACCTGCGTCTGCAGGCTTTCACCCACACCTACCTCTTCTATGGCGCGTACCGGGTGGGGCCCGAGACTGGCTCAGCATACAGCATCCGCCTGGCCTACCTCCTCAGCCCGCTGGCCTGCCTGCTCCTCTGCTTCTGTGGGACTCTGCAGCGGTGAGAGCAGAGTCCGGGGACATCTTAGCAGGGTACCCCAGTTGGCAGAAAGGCCCCTGGTCTGCTCTTCAGGGTCAGTGCTGGTTTCTCAGCCTCAGCTCTGGCTGCAGCTGCTGGCCGCAGACCTCAGGAGCAGGGCCACCGCCCTCCCGTACCCCCATCCCTCAGTTCCCAAGACCTGCACCTGGGGCCGAAGGGTAGCGGTTCCCCTCCCCCAGCCACCCCTCATTCCCCCCTAGGATGGTGAAGGGCTTGCCACAGAAGTCACTGCTGGGTCAGGGCTACAGGGCGCCACTCAGCACCAAGGTCTTCTCCTCCTGGGACTTCTGCATCCGGGTGCAGGAGGCGGCCACCATCAAGAAGCATGAGATCAGCAACGAGTTCAAGGTGTGTGCGAGAATGAGTGTGAGTGTGTGTGTGACTCTGTGCGTGTGTGTGTCTGCATGCCTGAGTGGTTGTGAGAATGTGTGTGCACGTGTGGCTGAGTATGAGAGCACATGTGACTGTGAATGTGATGGTGATGGTGAGTGTGTAAATCTGAGTGTCTATGTGAGCGTGACAGTGTGAGGGCATGTGTGATTGTGTGTGTGTGTCCACATGACTGAGTGGTTGTGTGTGTGCACGTGTGGCTGAGTGTGGGAGTGCGTGACTAGGACTGTGTGATGGAAAGCGCGAGAGTGTGAGTCTGAGTGTCTGTGTGAGTGTGGCAGTGTGTGTGCATGTGTGTCCATGTGCCTGAGTGGTTGTGAGAGTGTATGTGTGCATATGTGGCCACCAAGCATGAGAGAGTGTGACTGTGAATGCACAATGGTGAGTTTAAGAGTGTGTGAATCTATGTGAACATGACAGTGTATGTGTGACTGTGTGTGTCCACATGTCTGGGTGGTTGTGAGAGTGTGTGTACACATGTACCTGAGTGTGAGAGTGCATGTGTCTGTGAATGTGTGGTGGTGAATGTGTACATCTGAGTGTGAGTGTGACAGCGTGAGGGCATGTGTGATTGTGTGTGTCCACATGACTCAGTGGGGTTGTGAGAGTGTGTGTGCACGTGTGCCTGAGTATGAGACTTCACGTGACTGTGAATGTGTGATGGTGAGTGTGAGTGTGTACATCTGAGTGTCTGTGAGTGTGACAGTGTGAGGGCATGTGTGCGTGTGTGTCCACATGACTGAATGGTTGTGAGAGTGTGTGTGTACATGTGACTGAGTGTGGGAGTGTGGGTCTGAGTGTCGATTTGAATGTGACAGTGTGAGGGCATGTGTGACTGTGTGTGTGCGTGTGTGTCCACGTGCCTGAGTGGTTTTGAGAGTGTGTGCACATGTGACTGAGTGTGAGAGAGTGTGACTGTGAATGCACGATGGTGAGTTTGAGAGTGTGTGAATGTATGTGGACATGACAGTGTGAGAGCATGCGTATGTGTGTCTGCATGTCTGAGTGGTTGTGAGAGTGTGTGCATGTGTGACTGAGTACAGAAGTGTGTGTGACGGTGAATGTGTGATGGTGAGTGTAAGTGTATGAATCCGAGTGACGATGTGAGTGTGGTGGTGTGAGGGTAGGTGTGATTGTGTGTGTGTGTGTCTGCGTGCCTGAGTGGTTGTGAGAGTGTGTGTGTACGTGTGGCTGAGTGTGGGAGTGCGTGACTAGGACTGTGTGATGGTGAGTGTGAGAGTGTTAGTCTGAGTGTCTATGTGAGTGTGACAGTGTGAGGGCATGTTTGTGTGTGCCCACGTGCCCGAGTGGTGTGAGT